ATTTTATTGGGAGACGGATAAATTTTTAAGCCACACGGTAAAAAAAAGTGTCCAAAAGTTGACGCTTTTTAGTGGGCGGTTTTTTCGTCACATCCCGATATGCCTTTTTGCTAGATGAATTTTTTCGTATGTTTTTTTTGTTAGATGGAAAAACAAAATTTGAAAAGATTTCCAAATAATATTTTACTCAGTTTTGAACGCACTGTACTTTGGAAGCACGCCTGATCTGCTAGGCCTATCGATCCACTATCGCAGGAAATCAGTCGTTTCTGAGATAAGCTAGTGCAGTGAAATGAGTCATCTATGCCGTATGCACTTAAATACAATGCTTGGACGAGTTTTTGTGCACTCATTTTTGTCGATGTTGTTTTTAGTATACTTTTCGTGAACTTTTTCTAGTGGGCGCTTTTTTCGACGTTTTTTCTTTTACCGTGCATGAACAAGCCAAAATGGCTTGAAAATATCCCTCAAGTTCAATATTTTCGCTATGAAATTTGAAATGGAGTCTGGACTCATTTTTCTGACAACGAATTCAAATAGACGACAGTTTTTCCTTCAAAATGAGAGGTTCGCTAGCTCCGCTCGTCATTTTGTTACAGAGAAACATATTCGTGCCAAAATACTTGCCACTTTTTTTGCATTAAAAAAGCACAGAAGGTTTGAACAGGTGAGCCTATAATTTTACACACTACTGTATAATATAAGTGTTTATGCTCTCAAATAAAATGTCTGATTTTCATCGTCTTCATTCCATCGATCAACCGACCGTCTACATAAAATACACTCGATTTTCCCTTCTTCGTTGTTTTGTAATTGATTGTAACAATCTTCACACAGAAGTTTATGTCCACATGGGTAAAAACGACATTTTCTTATGCGATTTTCACAGATAGTACATGATTTTTGTTCAAAAGTTTTCTTTATTTCTTCTAACTTTTTTACGACGGCAAGAGCGGTTGGCCGCTGTTTGGCTGTATTTTTCAAGCATGATTTAATTAATAGTTCATATTCATTGTTATTATTCATATCAAGTGGTTGAACGGATTTTAATAGTTCATGGACATTTAAATCGGTTTTATCGGTATGTGGGCGGTGATAACTCAGTTTGGGTAGCAATTCATAGAGTAGGATGCCAAATGAATAGATATCAACAGCTGTGCCATCGTATGTAATCGATGGTTCATGACGAATAGAGAAAAGAAGTTCCGGTGCAATTGGCAGTGTACCCAGGATCGTATAATTCGTTGTACTTTCTTTACATGTACCAAAATCAGCTAAATAACATTTTTCATTGTTATCCATAAGAATATTCTTACTTTTAACATCTCGATGAACAATTTCATTCGAATGCAGTTCAACAAGAACATTTGCAATGTCCAAAGCAATTTTAATTATTGTATCTGATGTTATCGTACGGATATTCTTCTCTAAATAATCAGTGAGACTTTGTTTATATTTCGGTAAAAATATCCATAAATCACTGTTGAAATTACCAGCACCCGCAAAAATATCATCACTCCATGGATGGTCGTACAAAAACAGCAGCGGAGCAACATGTGGTATATCTAATTTTGTTATTTTACGATGATAATGCGCTTCTAAATATTGTAAATAAGGATATTCAATCGAGGGACGTTTCAGCTTTTTGACCACCAAGTCTTTCTTATCATCCCATTCAGCTGCATGAACAGTGAAAAATGTACCTTCTCCCAATGATTTAGAACTGTCAATTATTGGTATTTGACCATTAAATTGAGCTAAGTCTTTAGCAGCAATTAATTTACATTCAATACGAGCGAATTGGCCAGCATACAGATTAGCTATTTCATATGCAGTTTTCCTAGCCGACAGTCGTTTTATAGCCAGTTGATAATCTGATTCAATTTTTTGAAAGAAAATTTTCTTTTTGGTTTCCATCCATTCTTTTAAATTACGTTCAAATAATTTCTCTTGTTCCGTTAATTTTATTCGCATTTTCGTCATATATGTATCTGCAAAGTCCTTTCGTTTCGTCGGATCAATCAAGTTTGCATACGTATCTAATGCATCACTATATGCATAATAATTTTCTTGGTCGTCAAACTCTTGTACTTTTCTCTTATTCCAAAAGTCAACATCCCATTTTATTCGCAGACCTTTAACTAAACGGGATACTTTCATTGGTAATACTGTGAGGTTAAAAATTAGCCGTTCAAACCACCTGCGTTGTTCTAATTCAGTAGCTGAAATATCGACCAACACTCGACGTTGTGCTGATATCAGCAGCTCGTTTTTATTAACATTACTAGCAAGCTCACATGTTATCGATTGGCGCAGCGTTTCTTTTGTTTTATTGATAATCTGATTCACTGCGACTTTAATCACTTCTTCTTGAACAGCTATTTTAATAAATTCTTTTACACCGCGTTTTGTTATCTGTGGTGTTCTACTTTCCAATGGATCATCCAAACGATCTAGTTTAGCTGCACGTTTCGAAATCTGTGCTGAACGTTCGTCGAAATGTTGAAGAATATTTGTATATGCGCTAGCTATCAGAGCGGCTAATTGTTCTGCAAATTTTTCAAAGAATGTTTCGCCCCACATTTTAGCATCATGACGAATTTTAGCCCACTGACTTGGATCTCGACGACTAGTCGTCAGGGAAAACTCGAAAAAACTGTCAATCATATTCAAAAGTGAATCCGCCATATGATATGATTCTTCTAAATTCGTTTTAACAACAAACTGAATAATACGTTGTATTGTCCGCTCTGTCATTTCAGTAGCACATGCTGGCAAAACAGAACCGGGCATCGCCTTACTACAAATATCAAAGCAGTCACATTCTTTAGCCGACGTGGCACTATGTAATTCATTTGTCATCGCGGGAACGTTTAATAACAGTCGAAAACGTTTTTCTCGTTCTCTCGGTAGAATTTCACTGAATTTCGTCGGATTAAATAAATCTTGCTGTGTGGCGCTGATCCCGGCATCACTGAACAACGTCATAATATCTTGTTTCGTGTTCAAGAAAAATATATGCGGATGTTCGAGATTGCCTAATGCAGTTTTCAGTGCTAGAAAACATTCATGTGCATCACCAGCTACTGCACTGTTTTCATACATGAATATTAATGTTGGTCGGACAAGTTTTACAAGCTCATGTAAGTTTTCTTTTACAGTCGGTTTATCGTAAAATAAAAAACCGGGTGTATCATATGCATCAATACCGAGTTCTAGAGTAGGCGACGGAATACGTATTTCAACGAAATTTCGAACCCAATCAGAGAATTGTTCCTCGGTGAGATCCGCTGGTCTAGCAACATGTTTATTTATGGCCTTTCTCACTCCTGTCCAATCAACTTTTTGCTGTCGTTGGAAAAAATCAGCTAAACTGATATGTTCCTTTGCTTGTTCTTCTGATGATAGCCCAGCTTTTATCGTTTGATAGACAAGGAGACAAGCACCTTCCGCCGGTGCGTATGTTAATTTGACTATACGAGCACTAACTGGCCCGACCTTTGTAGGTAAAATATCGCCGATTTTAAGGAATATTTGTAAAAACGACGTTTTCCCACTTGAATTTGGACCACAAACAGCCAATTGTACATTATCAAAAGCTAAAGAATTTTCGAGAAATTCGAAATCAGATGAAGCAATTGCATCGGCTGATGATGCTAAGCCGTTGTTGTTCTCTTCTAAACCGGTTTGTGGTACGTGTTGTAATTCATTCATTAAATCTAATTGTACATTCATAAAATCATTTGTTAAATCTTGTATTGTCCGTTTTGTTTGTCGATTAGCTTGTAGAATTTGTTTCACACGATCTAAATGATCGGTTTGACTTGAAACATTTAGTTTTGAAACAAAGTCTTTTGACATAGTGTCTGCTGTTGCTGCAGCCATGTAAAGTTATTTGGGGGTGTTTTCAGTTTACGAAGAAAGAGATGTTTGTAACACAGGCCTAAACAAGAACAAATTCGAAACTAAAATTAGGTTTTCTGGACGAATACATCTCAAAACCCAGGATTGATACCAAAAGTTTGTAGCGGAAAACTAGCATTTGAGTATTCGTTTATAAACTCTGTCTAGTTAGTTTTAACTGTTTCAAATCATAGTTTCTTTAAGTACACTTACTTAAAGACGTGTAAGTTTCTAAAACGGCGATTGACATTCGGCATGAAGAAAACTACCATACCACTTACTTCAATTATAATAAAGATGAAAATTTCTATTTAATATAGTTAGAAACACATTAGATGTAATCAAATCTAAAAAGGAAATTAAACATAAATTTCAAAAACTGCTATGTAAGACAACAGAGGAGTTTTTTGTTTGTTTTTTTATTAGCAAAAATGATAAAACATTGTCCGAACAAGAAGCTTTTTCGGATAGCGATTGTGAGTTAAAAGTATATGGCTCTCTTTTAGTTGTTTATTACAAAGTAGAAAATAAATACTTTCACTAGTGGCAAAAAATATCAACGTATGACAATACCCACAATCACATCACAAAAGAAAACTAAACAAAACCACATTAAAGAAGTAAAACCAAAAAAGATCGTCTAAATGAACTTAAATAAAAGAACGTACATTTTTATTCTAATATAAGTTATAATTCTTTTCTTATTTCCTTAATTTTTTTAGCAATGACCGCTGCTTTCGGACGTACTGTTATATCGACATTCACACATCTGTTTAACAATTCCTTAAATTCATTAAGTCTCTTTGTAGTTTCATCTGACGCACTTACACTACGATCTGTCAGAAACAAACCAAGCTCGCCAAACAAACAAATATCTTCGGCTTTAACATCATGTCTATCAACATCATGTCGTTTTGAAAAGTCAATACCGTTCATTACACTCGTTTGACACGTTCCAAAATCAGCTAAATAGCATTCATCTTTTCCATTTAACAACACATTTTTAGCTTTAATATCTCGATGTACAATTTCATTTGCATGTAATTCTGCTAAAGCATTGGTTATGTCTAATGCAATACTTAGTATTTTATCAACTGTTACTCCTCCCACACTGTTTTTCTCCAAATAATCTGTTAAATTCTGTGAGTATTTTGGGAAGAACATCCATAAATCTTTATTATTCTTATCTTCGTACAAATACGACAGTTGAACAGTGTGCGATAGTTCTAATCGTGTTATCCTACGATGATAATGTGCTTCGAGATAGCATAAAAATTTGTAGTCAACCTTCAATTTCTTAACAATCAAATCTTTTTTATCCATCCATTCAGCAGAATGAACGGTGAAAAACGTCCCTTCATCTAACATTTTGTTAATCACCGGCTTACGTCCATGAAATTTTGCTAGATCAATAGCTGCCACGAGTCTGCATTCAATATGTGCAAACGCACCCACATATATTGTTACTAGTTGATATGCTTTTTCTCT